TCCAAGCACATGACACTGACTTGGAGTCGAGTGCGCAGACCAGTGAACTATGCCAGACAGTTGTACTGCTTCAGGTTCCTATCCCAGTTTATTGATCAAAATTTTCACAATACATGCTTCATAATCATATTAGTTATTTTCCAAGTGCATTCTTCAAATGTAACTTTACTTTTTAGCAATATAATTTGTAGGTCTGTGATCTAAGAGCCTAAGCTCCTTAGTTTGGGTTAATGTACGTGAGGTTTACATCTCAGCCGATCTAGTAAAGTTTTATTAATCAAGGAAAAGTACTGTTCTTTACTGATTTGTCCATAATCGCGGACTTAAGTGTTACACTTGCAGCTTAGATGTGGTTGCCATCAGTCAACCGAAATTCTAGGTCAAGGGGAGCTTCTTGCCAATAGTAATTTAATATTCTGTTTTATAATTAAGGCTTCAAACGCCTGCGCTAATACATTAACTCATTTCACTTCTACATCGTACATGGTTCTATTGTATTTAAAGCGTATATTTTGTGTAGGTAGTTATCGTAGTTGACTGTAGACAGGATTACTAATTTATTAGGATTAAAATTCCTGGTATTTCGTTTAGAAGTACCGTAAAATTACAAATATGTGTAAATTTCAGTTATGGAGTGTGATATATATATAGAAAAGACACAAGATGTGCAATTTCATTAAAAGTTTAAACTCTTCTAAACTCTTATAGTTTATTGAAAGATACAAACTCTATGTTTAAATCTCCGTTTTTTCTTTAAGTGTAGATGAGGTTGCATTAGATTTGTAGAGTTTTGTCATTGAATTCGACTATTATTGGCTAACTCTATGATGTTGCGTGTGTATTCTCCACTAATGCTATTTTTATGGGTGATATACCCATAGTTCATATATATATATATATATATGCGTTGTAACCGAGGTCTACGGTGAAAGATTAATCAAAAATTAGGTATGGTGAAATTTACTGCCAATGATAATTTTCTTTCGGAGGAATAAAAGTTGCATTTGTTACTCAATGTTCTGAAAAAGTAAATAAAGTGAGGCGACTTGAATGTTCTGTAAAGGTCATTTCTCTCTAGGATATGAACAACACAACATAGTTAATGTATGAAGGTTGATTATACCAACCAGACTAAAGTTGGTAAGCCATATATTTCAATTTTTGAAGAAACTGGCAACTCAGCATTTCGACTACATGTCAGCTTAATGTCTTATGAAATTCCTTCGTTAATTACCCTATATATTTACAGGATAATGAATTAATAATTGGCTATTGGGATTCTGGACCTTTGTTAGAAAATGGAGAAGCAGATGCAGAAAACGCTGAAGGTTCTATTCATGTATTGAAATATAAAAAGGTGTGGAAGGTATCTTCTCATCTTGGAATGGTATGTTTATCTTTTTTAGATTAGAGAGGTTAAAACTTCACGTATAGGTTTCATGTGTTACTGCAGGCAGCATCTATAAACCTGGTCAGGTATGAAGTGTTTTGTCAATAAATTCCGATGGATTCCAACCATATTTTTTTAATTCTTACATTGTAGACTTGGATTATTGCTTTGTGTGCTGATTCACATTGTTATGCATTTGATGCATGTGCTACTGTTTCAGACTCGGTAATTAAATTCTTTTTTCTCGATTTTATTATGATAGAACTCTTCTGAAAAAAAGATTGTTGTTGTATTCATAAGAAATTCCTGTAGGTTTATTATTATTATTATTGTATCCTTTAATTCCTACATGAACATAGGGCTTCAGCTGTGCGTCTCCATTGCGTTCGGTTCTCTGCTAGAGTTTTCACCTGGCTCCAAGTCTGCCCACACGTTTTCATCTCCTATTCACATGACCTCCTCCAAGTCACCCTTGCACTGACGACCAACTCGCCGCTTCCCTTTCGGGTTCCACTCGAGCGATGGCTTGTCCAGTGATGTCACTTGATGGTTTCCTCAGAGTATGGCCTCCAATCCACCTACATTTCTTCCTGCCTATTTGTTGCACAATCGATTCCTGGTGTGTTGGTTCGCTCATTGCCAGAGATCTCTGTTGCTGATCATTTCTGGCCATTTGATCTTGAGTATTGAGCGAAGACAACTGTTAGTGAAGGTCTGTAGTTTGTTTGAGATGCTCTTTATGACGCGCTGGCCAAGTCTCTGATCCGAATGGTATGTAGCACTGACTGGCTTCACATTGGAGTTGAAAATCCGGATCTTATTTTTGATGCAGAGTGCTGTTGACCTCCACACAGACTTGAGAGTAGTGAAAGCTTGTCTTGGTTTTCCGATTCTTGCTTTGATATCCTCGTCAGTTCGGTTCGCCTGTAGTTGAAACGATGCTTCCCAGGTAGGTAAAGGAGGTTGTTTCTTTCAGGTTCCTCTCATTTATGCTGATTGTTGTCTGTTGTTGTTGTTGCTGTTGGTGGTGTTGGCCAGGAATCTTCATCACCTCTGTCTTCTCTATGTTCACCTGAAGTCCTATCTTTGACGCTTCTTGTGCTAACTTGTTGCTTTTCGTTTGCATGTCTTCCAGTTTGTGGGAAATCAGACATATATCATCGGCGAAGTCCAGATCCTCCAAGTTTAACAACCGTTAAAAGTTAGGGTTGTCGGAAAGTAAATTTTAAAAAAAATATTCTTTAAAGGCTTCATGAAACTGAACCTCAGTTACTTGACTTTCCGGAGGTGATTTCCAATTGTAATATAGTAAAATAATGACTTGTGATTAGATGTAAGAAGAATTTGGTTGGCTGAGATGTTTTAATTTGGGTTTTGTGCTTATTGATACTCATCATCTGAGCGTATCTATAACTTTAAGTAAATGCCATTCCCCTCACTGAGTCCACCTTGCTTCATTTCAGGCATGAATAGCGTACTAGTGTAGTATCTCAATCAGTACACCCATAGATTCACTGCCACAGTGACTTTCATTTAGTGAACAGTTCGTATAAATTGACTCGCCTTTATTTTGTATGTGGATGATATTACGAGTCAGTAACATATTTTCAATAGAATTTAAAAAGGCCATTCTCAAATGAATTGTTTATGTGCATTGCAGTTTTTGGATTAGAATTCCTAAAACTAATGCATTTCAGAAGTTGTTCTTCTCGCGTCAATTTAAGTTGATCTGCCATTCTATCTGGTGTCTTAATTGTCTTCCTTGTAGTGTGTGTATGTGTGTGGATTCGTAGGTTTGAAAATGGTATCATTTAAGGCCTGATTATTACCATTCCATGTTAATTAGCTGCCAAGTGACAGTTAGTCAAACCATTGTAATCAATGGAAAGTGTTTATCATCCAGTGATAGGTCTTCTTAAACAAGTCAATTCTTAAAGTGACAGTTAACGCAAATTGCTTATTAAGTTCAGTGTCTTGTTCTCTTTTGTGTCAGGCGTCCGAAGTTATGATGGGAATATACGTTTTACTGTAGTTTATGATGCATCTTGCTAGTGAGTCATAACAAGCAAAGCTTCCTACTGACTGACTGATGCGTGTTTGTCACTTTACAAGTCTAACAGTTATATCAAATTTGCATAACATATACTATCAAATATTAACACCATTTTATGCTAGATAGTTGGAGGCAATCGGCAGGAAGCCTTGGACCTAAGGCTGCACCAAAGAAAGGACTAGACATGTCACACTAGTTGCTAGTGTCCAATCAAAATACCATTTTATACTGTCTACGAACAGTTGGCAGATTAGAAATAATGTTTTTTATACAGTCGTTTCTAGCTTCTTTTTAAAACGGTCATAAAAGGGATCCAAGTGCTGGTCTGCAGGAATTGGATTGGTTACAGGACTTCACCATGAGTTGACATCGGTTAGAGGACCATTGGAAAACCAGCTGGGAGTACTGGACAGGTGCTTCGTCAGCCTAGTTTGGCACTTACCAGCATTACGCACCCACCGGGGTTCTAACTCAAGACCTTCCGGTTACAAGGCGAACTCGTAGAACATTAAGCCACTAGGAGCCGCCGGCCCAATAGCTCATGAATTTCAAATTCTGGCATTTGACGATTTAGCGCGACTGGCACTAGCCAATGTCAATGGTGGCGCGTATTTATCCGCACATCCGACCTGCTGAATCCCACTAGTCATGACTTTTCGCTAGAACCTAGGTAACTATCTACCTGAATAAGGCCAGTCCCTAGTGTGAGCATCAGATTAATAAAAGAGATATCGATAGAATACTTCCGTAGTACCGAAAAAAACTAAACCTTATTCTTATGACTCTACAACTGAAGATAAAAAGAACCTGTGTACTGTCAAAATTTGAAATTAACTAACTCAGTAATATCTACGTATAATAGTATAAACAGATTGGAGAAACTCTCAATTATTGAGATAAGTTGACACATTCAACAACTGAATCGATCGGTAGACGTTTCGGTGAAGTCCCTGTTTAGAATCTCGCAGAACAAAAGGCCACTACCAGTCGATCAGATAAAGACTTAAGTGATGTGTTCACTTTTGTTGGATTTATTTCTTAGTGTCAACTTCAGATCACCTGTATATTTAGTTAGTTATAACTCAGTTATCCCGAACATATTCTGCTTGTGTCAGGATATAAGTAACACTGGGTGATGACGTACTTTGTTTGGCCTATCCAATCGCGTAGGCCAAAGTATGTGAAAGGGAATTTACACCCTCAGACCACTGGCTGATAGTCAAGTATTAAGCTAATAAGTCTAACCTTCATATGACAAAACTTCACTTTAAAAAGAAGTTGTTTCTATTCTTTTCTGTTTACATGTCTATAGGAATGTATTCCAATAAAATCTGTACAAAAATTACAACAGTCTCGTGGTTCATTAAAATCTGGACATATTGCAAAGCCGAAAATTAATACATTAAAAATGGTTCATCATCAAGAGTTAGCCTATAATGCTAAAGATGTATGCATATTTAATCAAGGTAAGGTAATTAAGTGATAGAGGGAAAATACATAAAAAGTTATTTCTTATAGCAGAGTATTAATATTTATTCTTTTGGGTTCCAAGTAGAACATAGCGCAGCACATCTCCATTTCAATCAGTGCCATGCAATGTCTATTAGTTGGCTCTACGATTACCTGTCAGCTTTCCTCTCCTCTTCGCACTGACCCCTTGGACGCCCAACTCTTACTCGGTTCCCACTCTATAGTGTGGCACATGGTATCGCTGTGCAGTCTGCTCAGCGTGTCTAATCCATCTCCACTTTCTTCTGAATATTTGTTGGGCAATAGGTTGTTGGTTGGTTTATCGACAAAGTTCCCTGCTGTTTATCCAGTGTGTTCGACCATCTGGTCTTCAGTATGAAGCGAAGGCAGTTGTTGATAGAACTCTACAGCCTGTTCGAAATGCTTTGATGACACGACAAGTTTCTGGCATGTATAAAAAACCGGCTTAGCAATAGCGTTGAAGATCCTCATCTTGTCTTTTATGTGTATAGTACAGTGGGCTTCCACACTGATTTCAGAGGAATGAAGGTTGATCTCGGCTTTACAATCCTGGCTTTGACATCTTCATCCGTGATATCCGGCTATCGACCAAAGGGCGGGTGTACTGCTCAGTGCAAAAGTCCGCTCAGTCCTCCTTTATGGCTGTCAGTAAGACCTGGTCATTGAGAGTGGAAGACATGAAAATCCCAGTTAGCTGTCTTTGATCATAGGTGTCTGAGTTCTATCTCCCGTGTGAAGTGGTATAATAAGGTGAGCAATATTGAGGTTAGGCGTCGAGTGCTAGGTAAGGTGGGGAAATCTATCGACGAGGCTATGAAATTACATTGACTGAGATGGTTAGGACATGTGTTACGCATGCCTAGTCATCGCCTTCCTCGACTGACGGTCAATGTTTTCTGACATAGGGTCAGGTTGAAAAAGAGCCAGTGGTGGTCAAACCAAAACATGGCTTCATCAGTCAATGAAATCCACAACAGTTAGTTTAAGCCAGCCATGTAGGAAGATGTAGACTTCCTGACTGACTGGTTGGGGTCCTTGGGATGGTGAAAACCAATGAAGGCTGGAGACAATTGGTGATATGGCTCAAGATCGTTCTCAATGGCTAGTGCAGATGCATCCACTCCTTGTAACGTATAATTTCCAATAAAACTATTTTGTTCTTCGATATTACTATTCTTTTGTCTCACACCTCTGTTTACTGTCTCTATTATGCATTTCTTCTACTTTCTTCTCCTGCTTTGTGTGCTACATGGAGTGGGGCGACTCGAACTGCTGCACATCGGTGCAAAGTTCTATGTCGAAAACAGACAGACAGACTTCATCCGTGTCTCCTGTAGGTGAAACGATGCTGCTTAGAAAAGTGAAGCTGGTGATCTCCAAACTCCTCCAGTCAATAATGACTGATACTTGTTGTTGTTGTTAGTTAGTTGGTTAGGTATCTTCATCAATTCTGTCTTCTCTGTTCGCTGTTTCCTTGGCCAACTTGTTGGTTTTCATCTGCGTGACACTGGACATAAACCGTCCGCAAAGTCTATATCATCTAGAGTCTTCTTGCAGGGTCAGCGGGTTCTTGTCTTCTCGTTCCCCATGGCCTGCTGCTTGATCTGGTCCAACACAATCACGAGTATCATCGGTGACAGTAGGCAGCTTCTTCTTACTCCTGTTTTCACTTCAAAGTTCAGTTACTGGGTTTTCAGCTGTGAATCATTTGACATGTGTCTGTTAATATTACGTAACGCTTGTTAGTTTGTATGGTAATTATTCCAAAGTGGTTGGGTAACTCTTATATTTACTGATATTGCTGACTCTTGACTCAAGTACAGTGAACTTTCAACCAGTAATTTCTTGATTCAGTTCACCTCCCTACTTATTTAAATCTAAGTAGTTTTTCAAAGTCTATTTACCAGTACAACTATCACATCATCCCGATATAACTTTCATTACTAATCAACATCAGTCAGAAAATCATTGAAAACCAAGGAGTGTGTTATACCTGTTTCGTCCTAACTCGAGGTTCTTCATCAGCACGCACTCATGATCCCACTGGGGACCAGTTGTGAGCCTGTTTACTATTCAGCCACTGGGTTGAAATTCAATAATCTATGAGTCTTAACTTCTGCTAATTCGCGTCCTGGGTTCGATTCCCAGTGCTTCTTGCTGAAAAGTCCAAAAATAGGTCGAAACAGATTTCCAGTACTCTCTGGTTCTCACATATTCTCTAAATAATATCACTTCGTCATCTAATTTGAATTTAAACGTTAAATGTAACTTTATTAAAATTTATCCAACTGTTTCTTATGGATCAGGTGAAATTGCAGTAGCCTATTCTGATCGTGTTGTTCGTCTCTATTCATGGAGTTCATATGAAACTCAAAAAAATTCAACAAAATCATCATCAGCATCATCTTCGTCATCCTGTCCAGATTCTTCATCAAATTTAGGTGAATTCATTCTATTAATTAAATGGGAATTAGCTGGTCAGGTAAGTTGAAAAAAAAGAAGAGTTAATTTGTATCCAATTCTAGCTAAATTCATGTTGGACTCATACATTTTTAAAGATGTTATGTAATGATTAATAAAGTATAGATATTTCTCTAGGTGTGCGCCTATGGTGTTTCAGTGGTAGAAAGCTCACAAGCTACACAGGGGTTATGGGTTCGAGCTCCCACCGACTCACTCCTAACCCTCACCTAGTTAGTAGTAAGCCCTGGAAAAGGGGAAGGTTAGGCGTTAAACTAGCGGCCTCCACCGCAACTGAAGCCTTAGAGCTTAAATAGCTTGGTGTTCTATTTCTTGCACGGAATACATCTAATCAATATAAACTACTCCAGATGGGGTTTTTATTCCAAGTCTAGTGACATTTTCTATCTGGTTGGAATTCAGTCTGCATCAAACGTGACATGCACTACTGATTAGTGTCCAATCAGAGTATCTATTAGACTTACTTTACTTTACTTCGGCTATCTCCTACGGGAGGATGAGACGCCTTCATGAAAATCTCGAATCATCGCTGCCCAGGCGCGGCGATCTGATGCAAGGTTTTGCGACAGGGTTATCCAATTCTTGTTCCACATTTCACACTGGCCACCGGGTGAGCACAGGGCGCGTCGCTTACCGGGAACGCCGTAGCATGGTGAGAGTCGTTTGTAAGAGAGTTCATGAAGTTTCGTGGGAATTTGGTACGAGTGATGTCCCCAGAATCGCTCGGCCTTTTGTTTGAGAGTGCAGCTCTAGCCTTTACACAACCAAGTGTGACCTACAAGGCAGTAGGAGTGGAGTAGGGAGTCCACTATCCATTGGTAGCCGGTGTCCGGAGTTCGGTTCATACTCCTTTTTGAATGGGGCCAGACATCCAGGACATCCAACAAGCCCTTTGTCCATAGGTCTGCCGGTGAGCTCCAGTGAGCTTCATACACCAGTCGTTAGAGGTTTGGAATCAGGGTTTACCATCTCCCCTAGACTGTCATCCAATGGACAGGCAGTCAACCCGGTGAAGAGCGCCGGGCATCCGCTTTTGCCCTCTCACTTTGGTGAAGGCAGTGAGTAGGACTTCCTCAGGAGAGGCTATGTAAGACGCCTGGTCATATGGGAGCATTTCAAGAGGTGTTCGGAGGGGTGGCCAACCCGCAGCGCAAGGCATCCACCCCCGACCATCCTGAGGCTTTGGAGGCAAGAGGTCAGTCGCAAGTCCGAATACCTCAGTGCCAATGTCTCTGACTGCAGTACTGGTTGACTCGGGCTGGAGTCTTGGAAGGGACATAAGTTCCTGGAAGATTACAGACACAGCTTGCTGACTGGTGAGTGCTAACAAGCACAATACCTACGTCCATGGCTTCCTTCTGATTGCCTCCGGATATCAAATATTCAGAAGTATTAGTCTGCCTCTATATATAGGAAGTATATCAGTTTACTTGAATCCAGTGTACTGTCATTTTTCAACATTCTTTCAATCTCATTATGATTTCGATGATGAGTCACAATCACTATGAATTAACAAGCTAGAAGTTTGAGCAATGGTGCATTGAATGAAGTCTCCTTACTTCTAAATGCATGCGTATGAAATTACATAAACTCTCTATGTAATAAAACCAAATGAATGCATATTTATGCGAAAGCAAATGTAATAATAAAAAAAGATTCGTAGATCATGGAGGTATTCTCCACATCAAGAAGAAGCGAATGACTGTAGGGAGATTTCTTTTAACCTCACAGATTATATTAGAATCATAATGTGGAACAGTGCGAACTTTATCAGAAAGCCATAGACCTTGTTGGTCCCCACCAACAAGACGTATCTGCAACCTTGTGAGGACTGATATCCTCTCAGAGATTTGAAGCCGCCGCTCTACCCGTTGCAACAGTCAAAGGAGAAATTACCGTTGAGTTGCTCGAATCTGACTGGAACAAGGCGAACTGCTTATTACTATATACACCTTTTACTGTGTACAGCGGGCAATGAGGAAACAGGCATAAAATGGACTCACACAAAAAACTTGGAGGATCCGGACTTCGCCGATGATATATGTCTGATTTCCCACAAACGGGAAGATATGGAAGCGAAAAGCAACAAGTTGGCGGAAGAAGCATCAAAGATAGGACTTCAGGTGAACATACAGAAGACAGAGGTGATGAAAATTCCTGGACAAGAACAACAACAACAGACAACTATCAGCATAAATGGGAGGAACCTGAAAGAAACAACCTCTTTTACCTACCCACCTAGGAAGCATCGTTTCAACTACAGGCTGACGGGACTGACGAGTATAGCAAAGCAAGAATCGGAAAAGCAGGACAAGCTTTCACTACTCTCAAGTCTGTGTGGAGGTCAACAGCACTCAGCATCAAAAATAAGATCCGGATTTTCAACTCCAATGTAAAGTCAGTGCTACTCATTATTCGGATCAGAGACTTGGTGCGTCATAAAGAGCACTTCGAACGAACTACAGACCTTCATTAACAGTTGTCTTCGCTCAATACTACTCCAGGTCAGATGGTCGGCCAGAAAAGATCAGCAACAGGGATGTCTGGCAATGAGCGAACCAACCCAGCAGGAACCGATTGTGAAACAAATAGGCAGGAAGAAATGAAGGTGTATTGGCCATACTCTGAGAAAACAAACCATCGAGTGACATCACTAGACAAGCCATCGCTCGAGTGGAACCCGAAAGGGAAGCGGCGAGTGGTCGTCAGTGCAAGGGTGACTTGGAGGTGATCATCTGAAGAGGAGATGAAAGCGTGTGGGCAGACATGGAGCCAGGTGAAGACTCTAGTGGAGAACAGAACGCAATGGAGACGCACGGCTAAAGCCCTTTGTTCCTCTAGGAATTAAAGGATACAATCATAATAATAATACTGGGTACACGATAGCTATGAATAGGAATTCTCTAGCGCAGTTTGTAGAATAGTATTGGAAAGAAAATGATGGACTCATTACTCATGCTGAGGCAGATTTCTGTGCCGTCGTGCTGTGTTTTACACTGATTAGATTTGTCTGTCAGTTGTTAGTGATAGTTTCTTTCAAAACCGTAAAAAATCAATAAATTGAAGGTGATTGAAGGTGTTATTTAAATACAAACACACATATATATTGTACTCAAGTAGAGTTCATCTTTTTTGTTTTGTTTTCTTATTCTTCTTAGATTAATCGAATTGATACATGTCTGACACAAAAGCATGGTCTAATGGTAAGCATTTCTATTGAGAATATCAAATAATTAATTTTATCACTTTTTATTGATTTATTTTATTCATTCCTTGAGTTCCAAGTGGAAAACACGGCTTCAATGGCACATCCATCCATTCCACTTGCTTTCTCTCTCTGTCATCACTTTCAACTGGCTGCATGACTGCCTACAGCCTGTAATTTCCTCTTCCGTGTCATTCTCAGACACTCGACTCGTTAATTCATGTTTGTTAGGAGTCCGTGTTCGAGATCCTGCCGTGTGGATATGTCATCGTATGTCGAATCGATATATTTTCCCTACTGTAAACGTTTGTGGAAATAGGTGTCTAACTGGTTCACTTACTGCCAGAGTTCCTTGGTGTTTATTCTTTTTAGCCGGCTATCTAGTTTTCAGAATCAAGCCAAAGGTATTAGTAATTAGTATTCCTAGGAATTCCGATTGTATGTGTGTATGTGCATGTGTGTGTCTATTGGCGAAAGGATTCAAATAGTAGATAGACAGAACAAAGTAGAATTTTCTACGGAAGTGGAAGTATTCCGATTATTTTATGGAAAAAGTGCAGTTCTACTCAAATACTGTAAAGCAAATTTGTCAAATCCAATTACAATATACTGTCAGGACGAACATTTACTCAAACCTGTTTTTTGGCTCAAGTACCACTAAAGAACATGTTGACCACTTCACCTATTTGGGAAGTTGTATCAGCACCAACGGACTGATTGGCGACGAAATCTCAGCATGGATCCAAAAACGTTAGACTCACGATCCCACCAGGCAGGGGATTGATCGAGCCCTAGACCTTCAGGTTACGAAATCAAGTTCGTTGAATATTCAGCGCCTTAGACAAGTAGTGCAAAGACCCATAATCTGAATACAGAGTTTAGTAAAAATGAAGAAATTATTATTATTCGAATCTTCAATACAAACGTCAAGTCAGTTTTGCTATACGGACCAGAAACTTGGCGGGTCACAAAGAATATTTCCAACAGACTGCAGACCTTTATCAACAACTGTCTTCGTTCTATACTGAAGATTAGATGGCCGGAAAGAATCACCAACAAGAAGCTATGGGGGCAAACAAAACAAGAACCAATCGCTCACCAAATATGCAGGAGAAAGTGGAGGTGGATTGGACATTCGCTGAGGAGGCCGTTGGGTGACATCGCGCGTCGGGCCAATGTTCGAGTGGAACCCGAAAGGGAAGTGGCGAGTTGGACGTCCAAGGGTGACATGTAGGAGATCGTGTGAAGAAGAGTTGAAACAGTATGGACTAACATGGATGGAAGTGAAAAGTACAGCAGAAGACAGAAACAAGTGGAGACGTGTAGTTGAAGCCCTATGTTCCACTAGGAACCCAAGGGAACGATAATAATAATAATATTCCCCAGGAGTATGACTTCACTAGCAGGCCTTCAACATAGTGTAAACAACTGCTTTCAGTCTAATCTCTATCCAAAAGACCTTTTTCGGCATAGTAGACCTTCAGGAACATTGTTTCCAGCCAGTGTGTAGTTCCTTGTGTCATTGCAATGGTATGCAGGCTCGATCACCTCTCCAAAGTAGAGGCCGTCAGTCTGGCTTTCCATCATACATGGTAATGATGAGAGTAAGTATTACAACATTAAAATATTAACATGAACTGTTATTTCCTATTCGACTTTGCTTATGTCAGTTATTATTCCATTGACTTCATCTACTTTTCTTTTCTTCTTCTCTTGTTTGATTCCAACAGCTTATCGCTTCACAACCAAGTGGTGGTTTCGCTCATTTACATAGAAAATTTGAAAAATATCATAATAATGTTGCGTAAGTTGTTGTTGTTGTTGTGTTTGTTGAAGTACACGTGATCTGACTGCAATGCCTGGCACATAAATCTTATAAGTTCTACTTATGTCCCTCTCTTTCAATGTACTAAACGTTATAATTTATCAAATACCTACAACGTGAGATCAAAGAAATGCACTCGTGACTGACTGACTGGTTTCAACATAGAACTTTGCACTGATGTGCGGCAGTTCGAGTGGCCACATTTCACTCAGCATACAAAGCAGGAGAAGAAAGTAGAAGAAATGCATGATAGAGACAGTAAACAGAGGTGTGAGACAAAGGAATAGTAATATCGAAGAACAATATAGTTTCATTGGAAATCATAAGTCACAAGGAGTGGATGCATCTGCGCTAGCCATCACTGAGAACGATTTTGAGCCAAATCACCAACTGTCTCCAGCCTCCATTGGTTTTTACCGTCCCGAGGACCCCAACCAGTCGGTCAGGAAGTCTACACCTCCCTACGTGGCTGGCTTAAACTAACTGTTGTGAATTTCATTGACTGATGAAGCCATGTTTTGGTTTGACCACCACTGGCTAATCTTTTCCAACCTGACCCTATGTCAGTCAGCAAACATTGTCCGTCGAGGAAGGCGATGGCTAGTCATGCGTAACACATGTCCTAACCATCTCAGTCGATGTAACTTCACAGCCTCGTCGATAGATTTCCCCACCTTACCTAGCACTCGACGCCTAACCTCAATATTGCTTACCTTATTATACCATTTCACACAGGAGATAGAACACAGACACCTATTATCAAAGACAGCTAGCCAGGATTTTCATGTCCTCCACTCTCAATGGCCAGGTCTCGCTCACAGCCGTAAAGGAGGACTGAGCGGACTTCTGCACTGAGCAGTACACACGCCCTTTGGTCGATAACCGACCGGATATCACGTCTACGCCAGAGACGGCGTAAACTGGCATATGCGAAACGAGACTTCTGTATCCGTGCTGAGATTTCGTCAGCGATCAACCCGTTGGCACTGGCTGATCCAACTTCCCACATGAGTGAAGTGGTCAACACGCTCTATCACTTCACTCCCTATTTCTAATCTAGGAGTCAATGTAGTCCAGTTCAGTCTTGTACCATCATCTTACATTTGACGGGAGCGAATCGCATACCAAACATTCTCAGATTGCAACTCAAGGTGTTCAAAAGACTCTGCTCTATTTTGTCAGTGTCTTCACCTAGAAGGACTATATCGTTTGGATATTCTAAGTCAACGAGATTATTCCCTGGTGACAAGTCAATCCCTGAGTCTCTGAAGTGCACTCGTGAAGTTTACGAAGTATGTATTATCAGAAAAGCTAAATACATAATGGGGATTGACTAATCGACTGAGTTTCAGTATACAACTCTGCTCAGAAATGCAGCAGTTCAAGTTGCCACATTCCATACAACATCTGGGAGATAACGAGGAGTGAATGCATCTTCGCTGCTGAGAACGATTTTGTGCCGTAGAATCGCGAGGACCCCAACGAGGCAGTCTATTCCAACCTATGTGACTAACTCAAACCAGCTGTCAAACATCTCATGGAGTGATTTCGTTTTCTTTGCTTGGTTTTTGTTTTAGCACCTCTAACCCTGTTTCGTCAGTTATGGTTGTTGGTCAAGGAAAGCGATGGCTCAGGATGCCGTAGCACGCTTCCTATTATTATTATTGTTTCCTTTAATTCCTAGAGGAACATAGGGCTTCAGCCGTGCGTCTACATTGCGTTCAGTCCTCTGCTAGAGTCTTCACCTGCCTTCATGTCTGCCCACAAGTTTTCATCTCCTCTTCACATGACCTCCTCCAAGTCACCCTTGCGCTGACGACCAACTCGCCGCTTCCCTTCCGGGTTCCACTCGAGCGATGGCTTGTCTAGTGATGTCACTCGATGGTTTGTTTCCTCAGAGTATGGCCAATCCATCTCCATTTCTTCCTGCCTATTTGTTTCACAATCGGTTCCTGCTGGGTTGGTTCGCTCATTGCCAGAGATCTCTGTTGCTGATCTTTTCTGACCATCTGATCTTGAGCGAAGACAACTGTTAGTGAAGGTCTGTAGTTTGTTTGAAGTGCCCTTCGTGACGCGCTGGCCAAGTCTCTGATCCGTATAGTAGCACTGACTTCACATTGGAGTTAAAAATCCGGATCTTATTTTTGATGCTGAGTGCTGTTGACCTCCACACAGACTTGAGAGTAGTGAAAGCTTGTCTTGGTTTTCCGATTCTTGCTTTGATATCCTCGTCAGTTCCGTCTGCCTGTAGTTGAAACGATGCTTCCTAGGTGGGTAGGTAAAAGAGGTTGTTTCTTTCAGGTTCCTCCCAATTATGCTGGCTGATTGTTGTCTGTTGTTGTTGTTGTTGCTGTTGGTGGTGTTTCCCAGGAATCTTCATCACCTCTGTTTTCCCTTTGTTCACCTGAAGTCCTATCTTTGATGCTTCTTCTGCCAACCGTCAACTAAGTACGCTTCCTAGCCAATATCAATCACAACTCCATCGATTAGTTTTCTCTCCTTACATTTACTGTCTACCGTCTACTTCAGCATATGCCACCTAAGATGCAAGAAAAAACACAGACACTTATGGACATAAACTGCCGGTAGGCTCTATAATTCTTCCACTTTGAACATCCATGTTTCACGAGCGTGAAGAAGGACGGAGTAGACTGTTTTGTGTAATATATACGTCATTTGATGATAGATAAGAGAAACGAGAATCAACAATCTATGTGTTAACTGAATCTACTGTAAATATTTATCAATTCATGTTCTATAATATTACTGTGTATCGGCTGAGTTCACCGTATTTTATATTCGAACACAAAATAAGTGTGTAGAAGGATTATTATTATATTATTATTATTGTTCCCTTGGGTTCCTAGTGGAACATAGGGCTTCAACTGCACGCCTCCACTTGCTTCTGTCTTCTGCTGTACTTTTCACTTGCATCCATGTTAGTTCATACTGTTTCAACTCTTCTTCACACGATCTCCTCCATGTCACCCTTGGACGTCCCACTCGCCGCTTCCCTTTCGGGTTCCACTCGAGCACTGGCCTGATGCGCGATGTCACCCAGCGGCCTCCTCAGCGAGTGTCCAATCCATCTCCACTTTCTCCTGCATATTTGTTGAGCGATTGGTTCTTGCTTTGTTTGTTCCCATAGTTTCTTGTTGGTGATTCTTTCTGGCCATCTGATCTTCAGTATAGAGCGAAGACAGTTGTTGATAAAGGTCTGCAACAGGCTGTTGGAAATATTCTTTGTGACCCACCAAGTTTCTGATCCGTATAGAAGAACTGACTGACTTGACGTTTGTATTGAAAATCCGAATTTTGTTGTTGATGCTGAGTGACGAAGATTTCCAGATTGGTTTCAGGTTGATGAATGTGTTTCTCGCCTTCCCGATTCTCGATTTGACATCGTCGTCCGTTCCTCCTGTAGTTGAGACAATGCTCCCTAGATAAGTGAATGAAGTAACCTCTTTCAAATCCCTCCCGTTGATGGTGATTGGCGCTGGATGTTGTTGCTGTTGTTGTTGTTGGTTGGTTATTTTCATAACCTCCGTCTTGTCTATGTTCACCTGAAGTCCTGTTTTTCCTGCTTCTTCGACCAGTTTGTCGGTTTTCGCTTGTAAGTCTTCGATTTTGTGTGACATCAGAAATAAGTCATTTGCGAAATCCAGGTCTTCTAAATTCTTCACATCGGTCCAGGATATCCCTGTCTTCTCGTTTCCCACTCACTGTCTGACGCATAATCCAGTCCAGTCCACCACAATTAGGAATATCATTGGTGATAATAAGCACCCTTGTCTGACTCCTGTGTTTACTCCAAACGCCTCACTGAGTTTTCCGTTGTGGATCACTTGACATGTGCCGTTGTCGTACAGCTGTTGAATAAGGTTGATGAATATGATGTGTAGAAGGAACTGTAGTAGTTATTCAACGCATGTGAAGTAGAGGATTGGTTCATTGACATAGGCATTCGACTTACAGCCAATAAATTGTTTCTGAGTTCGGGTGCCTCACTCCACTTAATTCAGTCTAAGCTACTGGAGCAGTATCATCGACTGTCACACATTAATCATTGAGGAGTATCTTATAGCCTTAGTGTAACGGCATAGGACAAGAGACTTAGTAAAATAACGTTTATTTGGTATTTGGTATCTATCTTTATATAGCGAAATTATGTACACATTCACAAATCGTCATATGCTGCCGTGTTGTGCTACTTCTGCCCTTCATATTGTATTTCTTTGTCTTCTTTTTGTGTCTCCCATGTTTTACCGGAATGCTGAATTATTTTCTCTGTTTAACGTTAAATCTGTCTCTCCATAATTTGATATTTTTATGCCGATGGACGTCTTTTTATATATACTACTGATAAATGTTATCAGTAGCACAGGCCACACTGATACATGAAATATCTGTACTGGGTAACCCGAGGTTAAATAATAAACAAACAAGCGAACAAACAACCCATATGGTGTTTTGTAAGGACTAATCTACCTGCCTTCTTCTTAATTTTATCTTCATTCTGATGTTTTAATTGACTTTTATGTTTTATTTCAACACAGACCTACACTGACATATTATCCTCCACGTGTAATAAGCTCAAATAATTTACAAACACGTACATGGCTTGTTGGTAATGTAATGAATAATTCCTCATGTACTACTACTGGTGATAATGATGATAAGAGTACTGTTGAACCAGACAGCACATCGTCGCGTCTTATCTGTTTATGTACAGCTGATGGAAATATGCTTCTTATTGATCCAACACGTGATAATGATACAGATCTGGTGTTGTGGTCTATTCAAGTGCATACACGCAGTGAATTATTTGCTTTAGGTAAAATAAAATTGACTGTAAGTTTCTATTTGCTGTTGTTGTTGTGTGTGTGTGTGCTTATTGAGTTCTCTTATTATTTTCTTGTTTTTTACGTCATTTGGTTAGCAATAGAATTCAAGGCGCCTACGCACGCATCTCCACCTTCCATGGCGTGGAGAATTGGTTCATATCGGCTTAGGCACTCGGTTTTCAGCCGGTTAGTTCTTGGGTCCGAGCCCTGCCCTGCCTAGTTCAGCCCTCACACGCGGTAAGGGTAGCTGTTCTTAGCTTGGTGCATGATAAATCTGTTCCGGGTAGTTAAGCTCAAACACCTTCCATAGTTCCCAAATAAATCTTGGACTAAAATAAGTAGATCTAAGCGGATTAACTTAGTATTAAGTAAATTAACGTCTAGCCCCATTGGTCAGTGCTATAAGGTTGATGGTATGAGACGTGTTGCTAAGTTATTCAAAAGACATAAGATGATGAGTGAACTAGTATTTGGACACATTTATCCCACGGAATTCGAGTAGTACTCTAGCAACACGTCACTTCAGTCCTTCAGTCATGCTTTGGGTGTTCTAAGTTTTCCTGTAACCAGAACGCACATCCGACCACAGGCTTGGAGACCATTTCGACCTCCTCTTCCTCAAAGTCTGTAGTTCAGTCATACTACAGCTGGATAAGTCCTAAAATCTTTACCTCACATAACCTTAACCTTTTATTCTAGTTAAATGTTTCAGGTCATCAGAAGAGCACATTTCTAAATAACTGAGTCTTTTTCGATTTCTGTTTTCCTGTCAGTACTTGCATGTCAGGTAGTTTGAGCAATTAGGTATACTGTGTTTAGTAAGGTTGGTCTAGTGTAGTATTACATATATCAACGGCACAATCAGCACCTTACGTGTTATTCGTTACTGGTCGAGTGCACCTGGATTCCAGCGAGTTGTGGTGTTTCTACAGAAACTCGTCTCAAACGCCAAAGCGCTATTCGTTAGGCTGATAAGCCACAACTAGTTTTATTTATTTGCAAGCAGTTGATATACACTCCATTGATTCTGATACAGAAACCTTCACTTACAAAACTCATAACAGTTGTGTTGCTTCTGATTGTAAATCAAATGACTTCATGAAAACATATATGGCTGTTCTGTAACGAGTGTATTCTTCTAGTTGACCTCACCAATAACGACTTATATGTTAAGTTTATGAGTTTATCAACCAAAGGATAAGTCAGGTAAGAGGATAGTTATTAACCTATGACATCGCCACATTACGGATCATCATTGAACAAAGCTTGGAATGGCAGTCAAATCTCTATCTCAACTTCATCGACTTTGATAAGGCCTTTGACAGCGTCGATCGAGAGGTGATTTGGAAACTACTTCGCTACTACAGGGTGCCACCGACAATTATACATCTCATCCAACAACTGTACGACAATGCTGCATGCCAAGTAATCCACAACGGGAAACTTACGGAACCCTTCGAAGTGAGGACAGGAGTAAGACAAGCTGGCTGCCTACTATCGCCAATGATTTTCTTGATTGCAGTAGACTGGATAATGCGACAAACAGTGGGTAATGAGGAAACAGGCATAAAATGGACTCACACAAAAAACTTGGAGGATCTAGACTTCGCCGATGATATATGTCTGATTTCCCACAAACTGGAAGATATGCAAGCGAAAAGCAACAAGTTGGCAGAAGAAGCATCCAGAGAAGATAGGACTTCAGGTGAACATAGAGAAAACAGAGGTGATGAAGATTCCTGGGCAACACCACCACCAGCAACAACAACAGACAACAATCAGTATAAATGGAGGAATCTGAAAGAAACAACCTCTTTTACCTACCTGAGAAGCATCGTTTCAACTACAGGCGGAACTGACGAGGATATCAAAGCAAGAATCGGAAAAGCAAGACAAGCTTTCACTACTCTCAAGTCTGTGTGGAGGTCAACAACACTCAGCATCAAAAATAAGATCCGGATTTTCAACTCCAATGTGAAGTCAGTGCTACTTACTACAGGGATCAGAAACTTGGCCAGCGCGTCACGAAGGGCACTTCAAACAAACTACAGACCTTCATTAACAGTTGTCTTCGCTCAATACTCAAGATCAGATGGCCGGCCAGAAAAGATCAGCAACAGAGATCTCTGGCAATGAGCGAACCAACTCAGCAGGAACCGATTGTGAAACAAATAGGCAGGAAGAAATGGAGATGGATTGGTGGCCATACTCTGAGGAAACCATCAAGTGACATCACTAGACAAGCCATTGCTCGAGTGGAACCCGAAAGGGAAGCGGCGAGTTGGTCGTCAGTGCGAGGGTGACTTGGAGGAGGTCATGTGAAGAGGAGATGAAAACGTGTGGGCAGACTTGGAGCCAGGTGAAGACTCTAGCAGAGAATCGAACGCAATGGAGACGCACGGCTGAAGCCCTATGTTCCTCTAGGAATTAAAGGAAACAATAATAATAATAATAATTGGTTGGCGGTTGCACTATATACATATTGTTAATTGGCAGAACCTGAAATTCATAGGCCTATTGGACAGATTCGAGGTGGCTTAATGGTGTACGACTTCGCATTGTAGTCGGGAGGTCCGGGGTTCGAAACCCGGTGGGCTCATCTTGCTGAAGAGTTCAAAGTTGGTCAGCAGATCAGCTGCTTTTACAGTGGTTCTCTAACCAGTGTCAGTTCATGATAAAATCCTGTGAGAATGGAATGGAACTTATGCTGTATTTAACATCTAGACTACTGATATTAGAAACTTTGATTGTCAATAATTAACTCATGATGATATAAAAAGCCAAAGGGACTTTAATGTCTGCACAAATCTCTCACCCTAGGGTGGCATTCATGGTAGCTAATGCGTTGAAGCTCGTCAAGGAAGTGTGAAACAGTGGGACACCACTACGATGCACTTGAAAGCCACATCGGTGTTATCCCAGTTATGAACCGCTTTTGTGCGTGTGTGTGTGTTGGTTAATTATGCTACCTGGTTGCCTAAGCTTTGTATTAGGTCGAGCAGAATTCGAACTAGGCTCCATTCATTGAAAGTTAACTGCTTAAGTAAATGATCCACTCCACCAAAACCGTCGGGCTCAGCCGGGAGTCGAACCCGGGACCACTCGCACCCGAAGCGAGTATCATACCCCTAGACCACTGAGCCACGTGTCGTGGTGGGTCATTTATTCAATTACTGATTCATGTAGATTACTATCTGAATATCTTAACGTGACGTAGTCTACTTCCCTTCGTCAGTGTATTCATTCATGAAGATCCAAATCCCCAAGTGAGACATTAATAGTTCTACAAGATTATGTTAACTTATATATCAGTTTGGCAACAGTTAAGAATAGACACCAACTTCAGACGACCTTGAAACAACCAATCAGATTCTTCTAGGTGAAAAGTGGTACTTAATTTACAAAGAAGTGTATCTATGAAATATATGTAATAAAAATGAATCAAATAGGGTACATATCTCTGATATGCTGCAAAAACTGGTCCCAGATTCTCATAGAAGTGGTCATAGACATATCAAACCAATGTATTCTCTTCAAGTGTTGGTTTGTAGGGATTTGATTGGTTACGGGATTTTCATCATGAGCTGACATTAGTTAGAGAACCATTGGAAAACCTGGGAGTACTGGACAGTTGTTTTGTCCTAGTTTGGGACTCTTCATCAGTACGCGCCCACCGGGATTCGAACCCAGGACCTTCTGGGTTAGAATTCATGGACCATTGGATCGGGTCCCAGTGGCTTAATGGTATACGAGCTCGCCTTGTAACCTGAAGGTCCTGGGTTCGAATCCCGGTGGGTGCGTACTGATGAAGAGCCCCAAACCAGGATGAAACAGCTGTCCAGTACTCCCAGGTTTTCCAATGGTCCTCTAACTAATATCAGCTCATGATGAAAATCCCGTAACCAATGTATTGTCTTTTTCTCCAGCTTTAGCAAATACTGGTTGCATACTCGCAATATGTTATTAAGGGAAAGCTTTGATTTCAAGAAGAAAGTGTCCAAAAAATCACCACTTACGTACCACTCACCAAATTATACAGACTTCCTCATATAAAGTGGTTACAGCTGAATTTATAACCATAAATAGCCCGGTAATACTTTTTCAGAGTCATTATCCCTCAACATGTGCATGTTTTATATTCCACCCTATCAACACATTTTCCACAGAGAAGTCAAAAACCAAATTTAGGAGACATTTTCAACGAGGATTATGACTAGCCATCATTTGTAATGCTAAGCTATCTGAATGGTCAAATCAAGGTCATTTGTCTTTGGTATCTATTGATATAAGAATAAAACTTGTGCACTGTGGTAGAGTGTAATTCCATTATGGGTAAATTTTGTATTGATAAAGTCTCACAGTGTTATACAGTAATGTTTACTGATGATGTTTCGAGCACAACTGAAGGTGTAGCAATGGGATCCCCAATATCCCCTATCGTAGCAGATATATTTATGGATAGCTGGGAAAATATGGCTCTTAATAAGTTTAATCCTACTCCAAAAATATGGTGGAGATATGTGGATGACACTTTCACAGTGTTAAAAACAGAACATATCTCTAGCTTCTTAACACACATAAACTCACTAGTGGAGGGAATAAAATTCACATTTGAAGCCGAAAATGAGCAAGGAGAATTAGCTATGTTAGATTGTAAAATAAAACGAATAGAAGAAGGCAAACTACACACTAGTGTTTATAGAAAACCAACGCATTCTAATAGATATTTAGACTTTAATTCATCTCATCCTGTAACTGTTAAGGCAGGCTTAGTTAAGTGTTTAACAAACCGAGCAATGGCACCAAGTAGCACAAAAAAGACCTAAATGATGAAATAAAACAGATAGAAGAGGCGTTGGTTTTAAATAACTATCCTTTAAAATTCATTAGGAAGATTGAAAACGGCCAAAAGAAAAAGAATTGTGAAACTAGTAATAATAACATAAATAAGAGAGAATATAAGTCATCTACAGTTATACCATATAAAGAGGGGACATCTGAGACCCTACGTAGGATTCTAAATAAAGCAGGAATTAGGGTGGCATTCAAACCTACAAACTCACTCAGGTAGGACAAGCTCTGTAGGTTAAAAGACCCAGTGGACCCAATTAAACAAAATAATATAATTTACAAAATACCTTCCAATGACTGTGAGGTCAACTACATAGGTCAAACTAGTAGGTCAGGGGTAGTCAGATTGTCAGAACATAAGAATTTAGCTAAGGTAAGAATGGTTGACCCAGAGAAGATAAGTAATTTAGAAAAAAGCTCAGCAACTGCAATGCATGCATTAGCACACAACCACACAATAGGGTGGGAGAGGGTTAAAATTCTAAAAAGTAATCTAGGTAGGTGGAGAGAGGTTGATTACTGAATCCTTGTTCATCGAATCTACACCCAACACATGCAATAGGAATGATTCATCACTCATACCCGAAATATGGAAAATACTACTACCAATCAAATCAAGTGAAAAACAATGGAACTGTATAAATGAATTTAGGAAGTCGTGTGATTACCTTGATATGATTATGAGCAATAAATTGTGCTCGAAACGTCATCAGTAAACATTACTGTATAACACTGTGAGACTTTATCAATACAAAATTTGGTGTCTATTGTTTACTCTTGCCATCAGTTTATCAACTCACACATGAAATGCGCTTTTGTTTACTATTTTTTCATCCGTATATTGGTTTAATTTTTTTTCCCCACAGCAAGATGATGGTGATCAAATTGTTGTCTGTTCATGGGATGGTGCTACATACATATTTGATTTAAATAATAATTCAGTATGCTTCCCATTAGGACAATCATGTCAAGCATTTATTGCTGGTGTATATGCTGTAGACGCTGGTGTCAATGTACCAGTGCTAATCTATTCAACATTTGATCATAATATTCGTATTTATTATAATTTACATTTGAATTATATTGCTGCACAAAGTTTGCATAGTACAATACTAACAGATCAACTGTTAGTAGAGAAGTTACAAAAGAAGCAAGTTGATCGTAAGTTATTTTATGTGACTATGTGAAGGTGTGTGTGTTTGTGTGTATGTTTAGTTTGAGTCGTTAAAGGCATTGATCGATAAGTTGGAACATCAACAACAGCAGTTTTGGTGTGTTGTTGGTCCTGTTATTATGAATAATATTAGTATTCCCTTAGGAGGCTGCGAGTGGGGAACATAGGGCTTCAACAGCACATGATCTCCTCCATATCACCGTTGGAAGTCCGGCTCGTCGTTTCCCATTCCGGTTCCGCTCGAGGGCTTGGCACGTTATTTTTTATTCTTGATTATAGCTTGATTCCACATTGTATTTCTGGTACAAGTATGGAATTTTCAACATGTGATATTGGTAGCCCAAATTTTGCAGGCCGACCATTGATATCAGGTGTGCGTCGGCAGGGGATCGAACCCCGGACTATGTGCATGGTCGGCGAGAGTCCTAACCGCTGTGCCACCGACGCACAACAGGGAGGTGGTTTCCACGCGCCGACCGGGCTGTCACATGGCCACCATTCATGGGCGCTCTCCTGCTACCGCACCACGCGGGGACTTTTGCCTGCTGGGTTTCTCCCCCAAGGCCGGTTCGCCCCTCCGTAGTCGACTTGGACAACCCGTCCTCCGACCGGTCATCCATATCGGCGCCGTGCTAAGCGTGGACGCTCGATCAATATGAGCACCCATATGCCAGAACTCCCGGTCCAGCAAAATTCCGCACCCCGGCCTCCAAGTAGCTGGTTTACAGGTGCTTGACGGTCCCCCCACCCACCCTAGCGTGTTTCCAATCTATCTCCATTTTTCTAGGCATATTCAATGGGTTCTTGGTTAGTTCATTGCCAAAGTTCTTTGTTGCTAATCCTTTCTAACTGGCTATCTGATCTTCAGTATGGAGCTGAGGCAACTGTTGATAAAAGTCCGCAGCAGCCTGTTAGAAATGCTTTTGGTGACTTACCAAGTCTCTGAATTATAAAGAAGCATGGAGTTAAAATTAGTGTTTCAGAATCCGAATCTTGCTATTTATACTTAGTACGTCGGATATCCAGGCTGATTTCGGAGCAATAAACGTCTGTCTTGCCTTCCGATACTGTCTATGACGTAATAATAATAGCTTTATTCTGAAATAATAGAGAAGATTTGTAGCTCAGGTGGATGATTTGCAATTACATCACGCATGAAGAAATTTAAATCATTTCACTTTGTGCTAAATATGGCGCTGAAGATGTTGTCCGGAAGGACGACGAAAGCTTCGCGACTAAACCAACCAGCTCAGAGAACACTTTTAATTGCAAATAGTTTTATTCTGAAAATTGCGTTTATTCACAGTACAGAATTTTCAGCGAGTTTCATCGTAACATATTTACTCCTTGTGCAGTGTCTTCAAATAATTTAATAATCGATAATATATCATTTGAAACAATTTTTTCCATTGGAAGCATACTCCAATACTACTCCACTTCCATGAGTTTGTTTTTAGGGGCTTTGATTTGTTTCAAATGTGACCACGGTCGGTCGGTCGGTTGGTTTTCGACATAGAACTTTGCACATATGTGCGCCAGTTCAAGTCGCCACACTCCCTCCTTGTAGCACACAAAGCAAGAGAAGAAAGTAGAAGAAATGCATAATATAGACAGTAAACAGAAGTGTGAGACAAAGGTATAGTAATAACGAAGAACAAAACAGTTTAATTGGAAATCATGAGTCACAAGGAGTGGATGCATCTGCCTAGCCATTGAGAACGATTTTGAGCCATGTCACCAATTGTTTCCAACCATTGGTTTTTACCGTCCCGAGGACCCCAACCAGGAAGTCTACATCTTCCTACGTGGCTTAGACTAGCTGTTGTAGATTTCATTGACTGGTGCCATGTTTTCGTTTGACCGCCACTAGCTCTTTTCCAGCCTGACCCTATATCAGCTAACATTGCCCGTCGAGGAAGGCGATGACTAGGCATGCATACGTAACACATGTCCTAACCATCTCAGTCGATGTAATTTCACAGTCTCGTCAACTGATTTTCCCGCCTTACCTAGCACTCGACGCTTAACCTCAATATTGCTCACCTTATTATACCACTTCACGCGGGAGATAGAACGCAGACACCTATGATCGAACACAGATAAGTGACCACGAATTGGTATCAGTTAGAGAATTATTGAAAACCACCAGGGAGTACTGGACAGCTGTTCCATCTTAGTTTGGGACCCGAGACTCAATGACCCATGAATTCTAACTTCTACCATTTTGTGATTTTAGCGTGACCACTAGCCAATGGTCTACAAGCTTGCCTTATAACCGGAAGATGTTGGGTTTGAAACCCAGTGGGTGCGTACTGCCATTGAGTCCCACACTAGAACGAAACAATTGTCCAGTACTCCCTGGCTTTCAACGATTTTCTGACTACTCTCATTCGCCTTGACAAACTCCTAGCGGTAGGTAGAAACTTATTTCAAATTGTTTGTGAGTATAGATATCGCTACTCATTGTGATAACTTGACAATTAAAACAATATGATATGATTTAAGTAGGCCGCCGTAGTCTTGTAGGACATCTTCGCCTGTAGTTGAAACGATGCTGTCTAGATAAGTGAAAGAAGTAACCTCCTACGAATTCCTCCTATTGATGGTTGGTACTTGTTGCTGTTGTCATCGTTAGGTATCTTCATTATATCGTCATCCTACTGTTACAGATGTACTCATACTGTATTTAGAATCCATTTTGTATTTAATTTTACCGCTCATGATTTCTGCTTCTTGTTACTCCTTTTGTAGGCTTTTATTTAATGCTCAGACTTATGATAACTGGTACTGTTAAATGGTAATGTCAGGGCATTATTTTGATAATCACTCTCTACTAGGAATAGGAGTGTTTCGTTAAGCTTTTGTTTTAATACTTTTTGATATCGATTAAGATTGTTAGGACATGTGTTACGATGCATGCCACTCCATCGCCCCTTCCACGTCGATTAATGTTGACCGACATAAGAGCTTAGGGATGGTTAGCATAAAATATAGTATCAATCTACAAAGTCTTGGACTGATGGTTTGAATCAAGTAGGAAGGTGTACAATGTCTGTCCGGGGTACTCGAGGTGCCAAGAATCATTGGCTGTAGACTGACTGTTGGTGACATGGCTCACTAGTTTTATTCTCCCAGATCCATTGAATTCTTACTATTCTCCCCCACCCTCCCGTTTATTATAATTTCTTTTTTCCCAATCTTTATGGTTAGTTTTATGATGTATGACAACTTAAACTGCTACGTTGAAAATCCCGTCAGTGAGTTATACTTGTCGGCATTCGTCAGCAAAGTGTATATCTGCATAAGAGGGAATCAGTCGGCCACTGCATACTTTGTTTACGCCATCTCCGGCTTAGCAGACGTGATATGCAGCCGGTTGTCGACTAAAGGGCGTCCGCTCCGTCCTCCTTTATGGCTGTGAGTGAGACCTGGCCATGGAGAGTAAAAGACATGAAAAGGCCGGCTAGCTGTCTTTGATCATAGGTGCCTGCGTTCTATCTCCCGTGTGTGTTAAGTGGTATAATAGGGTAAGCAATATTGAGGTTAGGTGTGAGTCGAGTGCTAGGTAAGGAGGGGAAATCAATCAACGAGGCTGTGAGGCTACATAAACTGAGATGGTTAGGACATGTGTTACGCATGTCTAGCCATCGCCTTCCTCAACCAACGGGCGCTGTTAGCTGACATACAAAAGAGTTAGCCAGTGGTGGTCAAACCAAAACATGGCTTCATCAGTCAATGAAATCCACAACAGTTAGTTTAAGCCAGCCACGTAGGAAGGTGTAGACTTCCTGACTGATTGGTTGGGTTCCTCGGGACGGTAAAAACCAATGGAGGCTGGAGACAATTGGTGATTTGGTTCAAAATCGTTCTCAATGGCTAGCGCAGATGCATCCACTCCTTGTGACTTATGATTTCCAATGAAACTATATTGTTCTTCGATATTACTATTCTTTTTGGCTCATATCTCTGTTTACTGTCTCTATTTTGCATTTCTTCTTCTCTGGGCTTTATGTGCTGAATGAAGTGTGGCAACTCGAACTGCTGCACATCAGTGCAAAGTTCTATGTTGAAACCAGTCATTCAGACTGCATACTTTACTGGCTAGTCTTTGACCCTTAAGCTTTGTGAAAGATATTCAGATCTCCAAGGAAGTATGAGTTTCCAAAGAGAGTTGGATAATCACCTTACGGTCTCCTGTCAACAAACACAGTCTAAGTCAAGTAGGTTTCCTTTATTACCCACTTATTTCATCTAATAGGTTACGCTTCACTGTCATTCATCAAACGTACACTCAGTCATATGTTTAATATTGATTCTTGGGGTGGGGGGGTAGATCTACAATGATCACTTTGTTCTACCTTTCATGTGTTTCCGTGCATATAAAAGAATATTGCATAATCGGTCATTAAATTTTCAGCAGTATCTTCTTCATGGTGACTGGTAATTAGACAACGGATTTTATTCAAATTTCTGTATTTCATGTTATTTGTTCAAAGCTGGAAGCGAAGAAACATTACTTGTCTAGAGTTTTGTTCCCCATGTTATTCATCAGTGGCTGGATTCAACATAGAACTTGGCACCGAAGTGCAACAGTTCGAGTTGCCACGTTCCAAATAGCACACAAAGGTAGACAAGAAAAGATGAGTGAAGAGAATCAATAGAGTTTTGACAAGTATAAGAGTGAAACAGAATGAGTAATGGTAGAAAGGAATATGAAAGATTACAGAGACTGAATACATCTGCGTAAGCCATTGACAACGATTTTGAGCCATGTCACCTATTGTCTCCAGCCATTGATTCTTAGAGTCTGCATCTCCCTACCTGACTCAGTTTAACTGTCAAGGATTTCATGGATTGATGAGGCCATGTTTTTGTTTGGCCACCACTTACTCTTTTCCAACCCACAACACCTATATCAGCTAGTAATGCCCGTCCGTCGGGGGAGGCGATGGTTAGGCATGCGCAGCACGTGACCTAGCCATCTCAATCTATGTAACTTTATAGCCTCTTCGATTGATTTTCCCTCTTTGCCCAACACTCTACGCCTAACGTCAACATTACTTACCTTATTATACCACCTAACGTGAGAAAGAGATCGTAGACATCTATGATCAAAAACAGTCAACCTTTTCATGTCTTCAACTCGTATTGGCCATGTTTCAGAGCCATAGAGAAGGACGGAGCGAACTGCTGAGCAGTACACACGTCCCTTGGTTGATAGTCGGATGTCACGCCTACGCCAGAGATGGTGTAAGTTAGCGAAAGCAGCCTGAGCTTTTTGGATCCGATTATTCATCAGTAGTTAAGTATATATATATATATATATATATATATATCTTCCATTATGACTATATCAATGAGAATCTCATGTCTTTCCTTTATTTTTTTTTAGCTCATAATCCTGTACAGTTATCTGAAGCTCTGCGTCATATCCTCTATGAATTACCTGAACAAACAACCCATCCCCATCTCTGTGATTAGAATATTATTAAATGGATTGAACATTGAATGATTTATATTTCAAAAGGAAAAAATGCTCTACAAGAACGCCTGAATTAATATTTTTGATGACCTTTCTTTTATTTTCTTTGTATTTTTTCTACTTATTTCTATTGTTTGTTTGTTTTTAATAGAGATGTATTGTTCAACTTTTCATATTGATGAATAAAACCAACTGAAGTGGTGATTAGCTTTAGAAAAATGTACTAAAGGTATTTGTATTCAGGATGAAACACGGATAAAAAAGAATTGTATCATATAGCTTGATAATAAAGAAATTTCATAGTAGATTTTGTTTTGAACTGGTATTGGTTGAAGAACTATCGAAAATCAGGTTGTAGTAGCACCACCGGCCGACGGATTCCTATGCCTCGCTTAGGCGGTAGTAAGTCCAGTAGAGAGGTAAAGTTGGGAGTGAGTGAGTGAGGCTAGCAGTCTCACCACGTCTTAAGAATCACTGCTACTGAAACTTCAAAGGTCAAGCTTGAAACCCTGTGTTCCAATGTGCTGCACTCCAGAATTCTAAGTTCTCTTTATTCACAGTGTATTACCGTCACCATCGAATACTGCTAGCGAGTATGTATACCTGAGCCCGATATGATCAACTCCACTGGTCACGAATTCATATTACACCTCTTATGAATTTCATTTCAGTCACTAAGAAACTGTGGGTCAATTTTTGAGTGTTGCGTTTTAGGCATTTGACTGGTTGGTATTCGTCGAGATTTTGTCACAAACTGACATCAGCTGGAGAACTGTTGAAAACTGAAAAGCAGCAGCAGTCTAAGGCTCTTCAGTAATGTATACCTCTACAAACTCTTTGGCCTCGATTGGTTCTACTGGTTAAAACGGATCTGTGACATGTTGTACGGTCCTAAGCGTTCACTGGAATTTGACATTTCATTACACTTTTGATTGTTTAAACAGAAGTGTATTTTGTTCATCTTTAATACTGTTAAATTCTTCATCAGAAATCTTATTGGTTGAGAGGAAAACACAAGGACTTCATGCAATAACTGATTCACTATTACTGCCAATACTAGTTCTACTACTTATGCCAATGGAAATAATAACTAAATATCTGAAAAGACAAATTTCTTGTGATTAGTAATTCCTCAAAATTACCAGCGTATGCCTCTTAAACCTTCCCAGAGTCTAGGCCCTGATGGTATACCTGCCATTGTCCTAAGGAAATGTGCTGATATTTTAAGTAACCCACTTACAAACATTTTCAACACTTCTTTTTCTAATAATGTTGTACCTTCTCTGGGGAAAGATATTAAAATCATCCCTGTACCTAAGTCAGGCTCTGGTAATAATGCTAAGTTCAGACCTATCGCTATAACCTCTCCTTTTTTGGAACTAATGGAGAAACTATTGTTACTAAAACTTGTTCCCTCCCTAAGCTTCTCAAACGATCCAAAGCAGTTTGCTTATAAACAGGGTAAAAGTACTTTGGACGCTGCTGCTGTGTTTCATCACAACATTGTATCCTCCTTAGACAAAGGGGCCAAGTTTGTCCGTTGTACGTTCCTTGACTATACATCTGCTTTCGACTCTGTACCTAGAGGCCTTTTGTTAAACAAGCTTAGCCTTACACAAACTGAGCCCTGGGCTATCAACTGGCTGCACTCTTACTTCTCTAATAGGATGCAGTACATGGTATATAATGGTGTATCTTCCTCTCCTTTGCTTACTGAAGCTTGAGTTCCTCAGGGTGCTGTTCTTTCTCCGTTTCTCTTTTCCTTCTTCTTACATGATTTACCTCTCTCAGATGAAATCAACTTTGTCAAATATGCAGATGACCTGTCTGTATCGTTTCCCACTAAGTCTCAGTCAGACTGTCTCAAATTAAATAGTTTCCTGTCGGACATCAGTGAGTGGTCCAAACTAAATGGTCTAACGCAAAATACCTCGGTCTACTTCTATCTTCCGACCTTACTTGGACATCTCATATCCTAATGATTTCTAAGAAAGTGTTCTGTCTTACCTACTACATTAAGAAACTTAGACACTCTGGAATCACCCAACCTCTACTTCCACAATCTGTCAACTCTTGTATCTTACCTATTCTACTTTACTCCTCCCCGTTAGTCTTTCCTGGTCTACTGAAAAAGGACTATACCATCCTGAGAAGGATGTTGAAGGTAGTTAGTAGGACTAGTGGAGTAAATCTCAGTCAGCTCGTCACTACTTTAGTTGATAGGCATCTGAATACATGCGAAAAATGGTCAAAAACCATACTCTCCGACCCCCAACACTCCCTCTATTCCCAACTCTCACCTTGTATCTCATCAGGTAAAACCAGAAATCAGTATAAAGCAATCTATGCTCGTACAACCAAGTATAGGAACTCAACGATACCATACTTGGCCTGTGTTCTAAGCGACAGAGACAATGTTAAGCGCGAAACCTATGACTTGCTTTCTTGTTACTAACATAATTTTAGGCTCTTTTATTTCTCTCTTATTTTGTATTCTTTGGTGAACTCCTTCTCAAACACACTTAGCTACCTAAATTATTAACATTGGTTTACTTTTTGTACTTTACTGTTTTCCTTCTTTTGTGTATCCACTGGTTCTGACTATGTTAGCACTAAGAGTAGTACAAAATTGTCCTGTCATTAACCATCATATAATTATTAGTTTTTGTGGTTGTTTTTTATTATTTTTTATTTTTTTCGGCAATATTAATTGACAATCATTGGTTGTGAACGCCATTGTCACCACCTTAAAATTTTGTATTATGCAGGATTACTCACACTACTACTACAAACACTGCATTAGACCTGACAATAAAAAACAAAACAACAACCCTGAAATGTTATTTTATGATTGTTTAGAGTTGTTTCAACCAAATTAACTGATCTTCTTGGCGATAAATATTCTTAAATATCATTTCATAACTTCTTGTATGACTATAGCTTTATTGTCACCATGCATAATCACAGCATAGCTTCTACTACGCAATACTGAGTTATTATTACATGCTGTTTATTTTCCTTTCTACTTCTTGGTATTTTTTCGCATTTTTTAGAATTATTGTTTTTCCTGTCTTTTTCTTTTGCTGTTGTTGTCTTTATATTCATTTTTTTTGAAATACTCCTTTTAAATGTTTGATAAAATTAGATGCAAATATTGTAGATGTGTGCTGAAAATTCCACACTGTACCACTAGTACTGTTTCTGGAATAAAGCAAATTATTATTATTATCGTCACTCAGCATTGACTTCTTAATCTGAAGTTACACGGTCTATCTGTTCGTGCATACACTCTGATTAGCTTAGCAGACATCACCGCTATGAATTTGTGATCCCAAAATATGTTGTTGTTTTTTTTTGACGATTAAATTATTATTATTCTGGTTTAACCTCCTACGAGCTCTCAAATCATGCACAATAAAAACATTCGGGAAGGGGGGAGGGCTGAAGTATAAGTGTGTCTTGCGTAATCGTCAACATCCTTTATTTCCTGAAGATTTTCTTTTTTAAAAGAGTCTTCATTACATAAAAATAAAATCGTTATTTGAAACAAAATGATGATGATAATAATAATAACAAATGCCTTTGATAATCTAATGTATAAAGGGGTATGTCACAAGTAAAGTTTATTTTTTGTTGTTATGTAATCAGTCTCCTGAAGTATTATTATTATTACTAAATACTTTATCCGTATTATATTCCATAGTAAATATTAATGGATGATTGCATTTCACTTCAACAATTTCATCCACTAATCGATTCGATGTTGAAACAATACCATCGTTGAATGATAGAATTGTGTTATCTAAAAAAAAAACAAGAGACGTCTTGTTTTTAAATTGTATAAACATGAAAACAATAGAAAAAAATAATAAACTCTTATTTTGATAGGGTATAGGACTTCAGCAACACGCCTCCATATTTCACTGTGTTCTCTGCAGTCACTTTTTCTGGGATGGCTACACGATTCCCCGGAAGCTTTCATCTTCTGCTCACACGATCTCCTCTATGTCACCTTCTAACTTACGTCCAACTCGTGATTTCCTATTTGGATTGCACTCGATGCTCTAAATGGTGCGTGACGTTGCACAAGGGTCTCTTTTCAGCGTATGTCCAGTCCATCTCCATTTCCTTCTGCATATTTTCTGGGTAATAAGTTCTTTGTCGGTTCGTTGACAGAGTTCATTATTGATATAAGTATAAAATTTGGGCACTGTGGTAGAGTGTAACTCCATTATGGATAAGATTTTATTTTGATAAATCACACAGTGTTACACAGTAATATTAACTGATGACGTTTCGAGCACAAATTAATGCTCATAATCATATCAAGTTACTCACACAACTTTTTCCTTCATTTATATACATGTGAATAATTTAAAAAAGATTATTATTTATGAAATTTATATTCTCGATTTAATACCTCATCATGAGACATCTGTAGCTTAAAGGTGGACAATTAAAAAAATAATATAATTTACAAAATACCGTGTAATGACTGTGAGGTCAACTATATAGATCAAACTAGTAGATCGGGGGTAATCAGATTGTCGGAACATAAGAATTTAGCCAAGGTAAGAATGGTTGACCCCGACAAGATAAGTAATTTAGAAAAAAGCTCAGCAATTGTACTACATGCAATAACACACAATAGGGTGGGAGAGGGTTAAGATTCTAAAAAGTAATCTATGTAGGTGGCGAGAGAGGTTGATTCTAATACTGGTTCATGAATCTACACCCAACACATGCAACAGAAATAACTCAATGCAAATACCAGAAATACGGAAGATATTATTACCACCAGTCAATCAATCAGAGGAGGATAATAAATAATCTTAAAATTCTATTTCAATTAAGCACATCACAACACTAACAAGTTACTTATTATGACTATAAAAACACTCGTCTTATCTCCCATCTGATTGTAATTGATCAATAGCACTCATATTATTATCTCTGAATGTACATTATCTCATATTGATTTTTATTCAAATATCTAGTCAATTCCATACATATATATAAATGAAGCAAGAAAGTTGTGTGAGTGAGTGACTTGATATGATTATGAGCAATAATAAATTGTGCTCGAAACGTGGTCATCAGTTAATATTACTGTATAACACTCCACTGTGTGATTTATCAAAATAAAATCTTATCCATAATGGAGAGTTCATTATTACTGATCTTTTCTAGCCGGCCATTTGATCTTTAGTACCGAGTAAACCGTTGATGAAAGTCTACAGTGGCGTGTTGGAAAAGCCTTTGACAACGTGTCAAATCTATGAACCATATAGAATTACTGACTTGACATTATTGTTGAAAATTCGAAGTTTGTGCGGAGTGCAGCAGATTTCTTAACTAAATTAAGAGTAAAAAGACAGTTGCAGCGAAGAAAATTTTCTTTTCGACGAAGTCATCATCATAGGCTGTACATTCGTGTATTTATATCAAATGGATGGGAAAGTTCCAGAATAATTTCTGGTTAAGGGTCAAATTAATAAAAATTACAATTAGGAATTAGAATGCCATAATAAACAGGGGGATGGGTAAAACTCAAACAA